TCTCAGATGACATGATTTAAAAAAAAAAAAAAAAAAGGGATATTATTTTATCAAAAGAAAAAGACATTTAAATTAAGAAGAGTACTGAGTAGGATTTTTATAATATATATATATATATACCCCACAGCCACCTATTTGACCACAATTCAAAGGTTTTATTGTAATATTAGCCCTCAAGTCTTCAATCTTTCAATATAATAAATTTCAGTCCTTCATCCCTTTTATTCTTGCAACCCATGTATTCTTTGGTTCAATACGAGTCCTTCACCTTTCAAAATATTCAATTTGACCTCCAAACATTTCAAACTTCGATTCATGGTCCGGATCAACTATTGAATTTTTACAACTTGGTCCCCGACTTTTAGATTTCGCTCTTTTTTTTTTTTGCTTCTTTCCCTCAATTCCCTTTTCATTCATAGAATTTACCTATTAAAAATAAGAAACAACAATTTAGAATATAATTTGTCAAAAGAACCATCAAATATCTTTATTTTAAGGTACCGAATAAGTGTAGAAAATACACTTATTAAATCCCCCCAAACTTAAACATTTATTTGTCCTCAAACAAAACTGTAAACTAAATAGTAATAGACACACAATCATGCAAAAATATTTGGTTGGACAATTTAGCTTTTTACCTCATGATTCAAGATATTAGTATTTACTCTATAAACATGCTTCAAAGTCATAGTACCAAACTAATATCCACTCTTCCAGTACAAAAATTAACGTGTGTGTGTGAAGAATCGAGTAATCAACCATGACTGCACAAGTTGTTTCAATTCCCGACCCTTAATGGTCATATATGTCCTTTCATCACTCGTAAGACTCACGTACCCCCAAGCTTATTCTTTTTCACTCTTTTCTACTGTGTAATCTAAGGCTGATATTTCATTACTATCTTCACCCTCTCGAGTTTAGGTGGACGTTACTAGTTGCAAGTTAACACTTCAGTGAATAAGGAATTCTTCAATTATTTGATTGCTTCGACCTCCAAGACTTAACTAGCTAATTATCATGCATCAAAAGTCAAATTTTCTCAAATAAGTATTAGGGCTTAACCAATGTATTTAGTGTTTTTGCTCTTTTCATGCACTTGCTTTTTCTATTTTTCAAAAGTGTTATATATATATATATAGGGCACCAGGTTTTAAGATACCCTTACAGACTTAATCACTCGAGTCATAAAGGCTTCAGAAAGAAGTTTAAATTTTTCAAATGTATATGCCTTTATTAGTGCAATGCCCTTTATCACACACTTATTCAAACAAACCGACCTTTAATTTAAGACTTTTGCAGAGTTTTATCACGTTAGTCTAAGACAATCCACACATAAGTTTTCACACATGGAATCCATACTCACATTTGCATCTTCCTACAACTGTAAAATCACCCCAAATTTTGCTAAATTTGGTCTAAGGATAGATAATTTAATATGGTTTAGGTAAACCATCTATGTCCAACTAGATCAATCTCCAACTAGATCAATCTATCAAAAGAAACAACTCATTTAATCATAACGTCAAACTCAATTCTAGTGCGCTTGTAATATCAAATTTTGTAAGGTCGAGCTTCAATTAGTCTAGCATGCATCCTATCCACAGTTCATAAATCAACACCTAATCTCAAATTAAATCATCATTGCCTGCTAGACTGTCTAACCCACACAAGCACACAACTGAACAAAAAGAGATTATTTTTTATTTTTTTCGATTTTTTACTTTTATTTTTTTTAACAAACACGCAAAAACATAAAAACATATAAAAAAACAAAAACTAAAAGTTTTTTCACCCCAAATTTAAAATTGACATTGTCCTCAATGTCATAAAGCATAAATAAGCACATAAAGGGAGTAGGGAAGAAAAAGAAGAAGGTGCTCCCCAAATTTTTCCGTTGAATGTGCGAGGCACTATGTGAGATGACTGGATAATATTCTTCATCATGCTTTTCCTTGAATCTATGTTGGTTTGAGTGTTCCACAACGTCATGTTCTTGAAAAATCAAATTTGACAAATTAAAGATATGGAACAAGGGTTACTTAGCTCAAACAATCAAAATAACCAACAATAAATTCAAGGGCCTAAGGGCGGAAGGAATATGGGTGACGACTCCTAAAAATTGAAACGTGCCTAAATCTAATGTAACCTAGTAAACAAAACAAAACTTTATGCTCTGCGATGCAAAAAGTAAAATAAAAAAATTTGAAAATTGGGTTGCCTCCCAATAAGTGCTTCTTTAAGTCATTAGCTGGATTTTGTGCTGCTATTATTCTGGTACAGCTAGGTCAAGGCTCTCTTTAGTGGTGGTGAAATCTTCCAAGTAGTGCTTGATACGTTGGCCATTTACTTTGAAGTTTCCTTTTGTTGGATGGTGTAATTCAACTGTGTCGTAGGGAAATACCTGAGAGATCGTAAAAGGGCCGGACCATCTAGATTTCAACTTTCCTGGAAATAGTTTAAGTCTGGAATTGTATAAAAGCACTTGATCTCCCACTCTAAAAATTCTTTGGCTGATGTTCTTGTCATACCACTGCTTTGTCTTTTCCTTGTAAATGGCTGCATTCTCATATGCTTCTCTTCTAAATTCTTCCAATTCATGTAGCTGTAGTATTCTTATTTCTCCAGCCTTTTCGAGCTCCATGTTTAACTGCTTCAATGCCCAGTATGCTCTATGTTCAAACTCCGCTGGTAGGTGGCATGCTTTTCCGAAGATTAGTCGATATGGGGACATCCTAATAGGTGTCTTGTAAGCAGTGCGATATGCCCATAAAGCATTGTCTAATTTCTTTGACCAGTCCTTATGAGATGCATTCATAGTGAGCTCTAGAATTCTTTTCAATTGTCTGCTCGAGGTTTTCACCTGTCCACTTGTCTGTGGGTGGTAAGGAGTGGCAATTCGATGTTGTATCCCGTACTTATGCAGAACTACCTGGAATAATCGATTGTGGAAGTGAGTTCCACCATCACTTATTATGGCCCTAGGTGATCCATAGCAGTTACAGATGTGTTTCTTTATGAAGTCTACCACCACCCTTGCGTCATTTGTAGGCAATGCTTTAGCTTCTACCCATTTAGAGACATAGTCCACTGCTACTAGGATGTACCGATTGTTGTAAGATGATGGAAAGGGACCCATAAAATCAACCCCTCAAACATCAAATATTTCCACCTCCAGAATATTGTTAAGTGGCATCTCGTGACGCGCTGATATGTTACCTATTTTCTGACATTTATCACAAGACCTGCAGAAATTGTGGCAATCCTTGAACAATGTAGGCCAAAAGAAACCACATTGAAGCACCTTTGCTGCTGTTTTAGTAGGGCCAAAGTGTCCTCCATAAGCCGAAGCATGAACCCGTGAAAGGATAAGTTTCATCTTATCCTCTGGCACACATCTCCTAATGATCTGGTCTGCCCCTCTCCTGTATAAATTTGAATCATCCCAATAATAGAATTTCGCTTCATGAAGCAGCTTCTTTTTCTGTTGATAGGTAAGATCAGGATCCATATAGCCACTAGCTAAGTAATTAACAATGTCTGCATACCAATGAGCCTTTTCTATCTGTAATAACTATTCATCTAGAAAGACCTCATTAATATCCATGTCATCTGAATCATGCAGTTGCTCTAGCCTCGATAAATGATTCGCTACCTAATTTTCTGTACTCTTTTTGTCGCGAATTTCAATGTCAAACTCTTACAGTAATAGGATCAATTGAATCAACCTAGGTTTAGTATCCTTCTTCTCAAACAGATATTTCAATGCTGCATGGTCAGTGTAGACTATCACCTTTACCAATCAGATAGGAACGAAATTTGTCGAAGGCAAATACCACTGCGAGCATCTCTTTTTCTATTGTTGCATAATTGATCTGAGCATCTATCAATGTTTTGCTGGCATAGTAGATTACATTTAACACTTTTCCTTTACTTTGGCCAAGCACTACTCCCACTGCAAATTCACTAGCATCACACATAAGTTCAAAAGGTAAATCCCAATCAGGTGCTATTATTATAGGTGCAGAAGTTAACTTTTCTTTCAAAGTATTAAAGGTATTTAAGCATTCATCAAAAAAGTGAAATGGCACATCCTTCTCCAATAGAGTACACAGAGGTTTTGTAATTTTTGAGAAATCCTTAATGAACATTCTGTAAAACCCTGCATGTCCTAAGAAGCTTCTGATCTCCTTAACTGAATTAGGAGGCAACAATTTTTCAATCACTTGTATCTTCAAACACAGAAAATCATCCATGAATACTTCGATGTATTTTTCCACCATGTCAGAGAATATAGCTATCATGCACCGTTGAATTGCGGGTACATTGCATAAACCAAAAGGCATCCTTCTAAACGCAAAAGTTTCATAGGGGCATTTGAAGGTTGTTTTTTTGGTCTTCTGGAGCAATTGCTATCTAATTGTACCCAAAATATCCGTCCAGAAAGCAGTAATGAGAATGACCAGTCAACCTCTCCAACATCTGATCAACGAATGACAATGGAAAATGATCCATTCTGGTTGAATTGTTTATCTTCATGTAATCTATACATACTCTCCACCTTGTCACTAACCGTGTTGGTATCAGCTCATTGTTCTCGTTCTTCTCCACTGTGATTCCTCCCTTTTTTGTCACAACATGCACCGGACTCACCCATGAACTATCAGAGATTGGATAGATAATATCTGCATCCAACAATTTCAGCACTTCTTTTCGCACTACTTCTTTCAAGGTTGGATTTAATCTGCATTGTCCTTCCACTAATGGCTTTGATACATCCTCCATTAAAATCTTGTGCATACAAAGAGTTGGACTTATTCCTTTGATGTCAGCTATTGTCCATCCAATTGCCATCTTGTGCTGCTTGAGTACCTCCAACAATTTACTCTCCTTTTCCATTGTCATGTCATTTGTAATGATTACTAGAAGTGTTGTAACATCTCCCAAATATGCATAACGTAAGTGTGAAGGTAAGGGCTTTAGTTCAAGAGTGGGTACCTTTTCTACTGAAGGTACTGGGGGTAAAGGGTTGCCACCAAGAGATTTATACCGCCAATGTCTTCTTCCTATTGGTTGCTCAGCCAAGTTGACAACACATTCAGCTTTTCCTACTTTAGTTTATTTCGATTACGCAAGTTCTACCTCACAAAGATTTGTGTAATGCTCAGTCTCAAATGTGTTTGCTACAAACTCTTCAAGAACTTCTATTTTGGCAGCAAGTGTTCGAAGTCAATAGATATTTCATCGCCTTGAACATGTTGAATATGATTTGCTTAGTGTCCACCAGAAGAATCATCCTTCCATCGTAAACATCAATCAGTGCTCTTTCGGTAGCCAAAAAGGGTCTTCCCAAGATTAGAGAGATGTTTGAATCTTCCTCCATGTCGAAAATGATGAAGTCAGTCGAAAAAATAAATTTATTAACTTTCACTAGCACATCTTCAATAATCCCATTCGGTCGTTTGATTGATCTATTAGCCAGTTGCAATGAGATTGTTGTAGATTTTGCTTCTCCCAATCTAAGAAACCTGTAAATAGAAAGGGCCATCAAATTAACACTGGCGCCTAAATCACATAAAGAATGTTCAAAATAATTAGAACCAATTGTGCAAGGTATCGTGAAACTCCCTGGGTCTTTTAGTTTAGGAGGTAGCTTTTTTAATAGAATTGCACTGCACTCCTCGTTCAGGCAGACTGTCACATTTTCTTCTAGCCTTTTTTTGTTAGACAGGATCTCCTTCAAGAATTTAGCATAGCTGGGTATTTGGGCAATTGCATCTGCAAACGGGATATTGATGTGTAGTTTCTTGAAAATCTCCACAAACTTGGCAAACTGCTTGTCCAACTTCTTTCTTTGTAGCCTCTGAGAGAAGGGAATTGGAGGCGCATAAGCTTTCACGGGGCTAGGTACTCTTACTGTGGGTGTTTCTTTCCTTTTATCCTCCTCGTTAGTTGGTTGTTCAGACTCTGCTTCTGTCCCAACCTCTTCACCCATGACTTCTTTGTCTTTTATGTCTGGTCTCTTCACATGTATCTCTGGAAGTTGCACTCCACTTCTAGTTGTAATAGCTTGCACTTGTTCTTTTGGATTGACCATTGTGTTGCCTGGCAATGTCCCTTGTAGGCGTTCTGCAAGCTGTTGAGCTATCTGACCAATTTGAGTTTCCAGCTTCTTAATGGATGCTTGCTGATTCTGAAAGTTAGTGTCAATCTGCTGGAACACCTTGTCTATGTTAGTGTCAATCTGCTGGAACACCTTGTCTGTCTTCTGCATGTACTGGTTGAAAATCTCTCCCAAACTTGGTTTTTTCTCCTGTTGTGCATTGTTTGAACTGTTCCCTTGCTAATTATCCGACCATCTGAAGTTTGGGTGTTGTCTCCATCCTGGGTTATATGTTTGTGAAAAAGGGATTAAAATTTCGAGAGCCATTTTGAATGAAGTTGACTTGTTCCTCCAGAAAGCCCATAGATGTGCAATTTTCTGTTAGGTGATTTGCCCCGCAGTTTTTGCAAGATGGGCCAGTTACCACTGCACGTGCTCCTATTGTTTGTGACTTCACCAATAACTCTACTTGTTTTGTCGATGCTGCTATTTGGGCGTTGGTAGATGCTGTGCTATCTAATTCATATATTCACGCTACTTTTGGAGGCACCACTCTTTCTGATGAAAACGTGGAATGAGTAGTCGCAATCAACTCAAATAGATCTATACATTGTTGCACTGATTTCCCTATGATCGATCCACCTGCAGAGGAATCCACTTGAGATTTGGACAGTGTTGAAAGTGTCGAACCCCAAATAATTTTAAACACCTTAGTGGCACTAAGACATGAATGTTGTATGGCTAAAGTATACTTCAAATTTTTATTTTCATTTGAGACCCATTTACAACATAGAAAACATGCGATTTAGAAAATAATATCTAAAGAAAAGTTGTAGCTCTTTGAATTAGCTTTCCAACGCACTTTGAATTACCTCAATCGGATATCGGGAGAAGAAGTTATGATAGAAAAGTCAAATTCCTATTCGATTTTCTAGCACCTTCTTAAACCTATAACTCTCACATAAATGGCACCTGTATTAATGAGTATTAGGCCCTTCACTTGCCCTTAAGTTGTGAGATTTTCACCTCTAAATAGGCCCCAATGCATACACATTTTTCACACCAAGACAAAAGCTTCTAAATATAAAAGAGAGAGTTTTCAAGTCTAGAAAAAAGAGAAAGGAGAGGGAGGAAAATTAGTTTTCCTAGAAGTTTTGGTGCTATCAAGAAGTGTTTTTCAAGCAACAATTCTCAACGGAGTGTTTTTTTTTGAAACATCAAAGGAGTGCATTTTTCAACAAGGTTCAAAGTATCAATCGAGGTAGGTAGAGGTGCAAAGTGTTAATTCGTGTTAAGTTATAAGTTTCTAGCAAATGAAGATTTATGTTAATGTTTGTATGTCTAATGGTACCTCCGGTACGGCATACACCTCCATGTCTAATGGTACCTCCGGGTACAATATGTACTTCCGGTCAAGGCGTCGTGTTATGTCATGACTCTAAGTGTTTGGGATTCTACCGAAAATCCTACTGTGAAAAGGTTTCTAAAGTTACAGTTTTGAAATGTATAACTTGATCACGAATGCACCAATAATATCTATTGAGTTTTTTTAACTCACGGGTTTAACCCCTTCTCTACAGATTGATATGATTCTACCTTGGGCTTGGATGATGGAAAAGATGGAGAGTGGTGCAACGAGCCCATGGAAAACCCGGTGAACAAGTTATTTAGATTTATTTTTGTGAACGTTTTCAATGTTATTTCTTTAAAGTATTTGAATAATGCTGAACGCGATAACAAGCTGTGTTTTCTTCAAATAAATTACGTTCCGTTAGTTTTTTTATTCAGCATTTTATTTAAAGTATTCGAAAGGTTGTTGATAAAATTATCATTGTAAAAATTAAGCTTCCGCTAAAATATATTCTCCTATGACTAAACCACCGGTTAGTTAAGTAAAGTAAGTAGTGTTCAGGTCCACAAGGGGTCGGGGTGTTACAGAAAGTCCCGTGTAGAAATACTGTACTTGATTTCCAATAGTGATCCCATGATTTGGACACTTCCTCATCAACTCCTTAAATCTGTTCCATGCCTCGTGATAGCTCTCCCCATCTCTTTGTTGAAATGTTCGAATTTCCAGTCTGATTTTTGCTACCTTAGCTGGCGGAAAGAATTTATTACAGAATTTCCTAGTCAGCTCCTCCCATGTGGTAATACTTCCATCCGGTTCGGCATCCAGCCATTCCAATGCTGCATCTCTCAGTGTATATGGGAATAATCACAGCTTGATGGCGTCCTCATTAACCCCAGGAGCACGACAATTCTGGCAATTCCTGGGAAACATTGAGATATGTGTGTTTGGATTCTCATGAGGTAACCCGTAGAATTGCAGAGTGTTGCTCATCAAATTAATCTAATCAGCCCGTATCTGGAAGTTGTTTACCCCAAAATCTGGATATACTATGCTGGACCGCTCGGGTGCTGCTATAGGCATAAAAAACATAGAAATTAGCAAGTCCCCTTCATTTACTTCCCTTTACTCTTACTGTTGAGCTCTCGCGGCCATTTGTCCAATTGGCTATATAGGGTTAGGATGTTTAGATTGTCAGTCATTTGATGTTGCTGTTTTTGTTTGTGTTTCCTGCGTCTTCGTCTGAAGGTACGTTCTATTTTCGAATCAAACGGTTCAAGATTATCGCCTTGGGCACGGAACATACAAGGAACACAGTTTTCTGTAAATAAAAGAAAATAAGCAAATCAAATAACAATTAAAAATAAAATAAATAAATAAAATAAATTAATTAAGACTAAAAATAATAGTTTTCCGTAATAGCGCCAAAAACTTGTTGTCGATTTTATCCTGCAAGTGAACGGATCGTAACAAGTAGCAAAGTGGATCTTTTGAGTCTGGATTATCGTTTCCACGAGAACTATATTTTAGTACTCAATTTATTATTCATAACTTCTATTTAATGAAAATAAATAAATAAAAACAATTGAATGTGATTTTTAAATCTAACTACTAGAAATTTCATGAATACAACAGAAAATTAGTGAGAATTCAATTAATAAACGAGGATTAGGGTAGAACAAATTCACCTATTGGTCACCTTTATTTCTAATATCGAGATTCATAAAACTAAAGTGTGCTCGGTCGAATTCTTCTATTGTATTCGGCTTACTGATAAGTGCAATTTGTGTGCTTATCTATATCACATTATTAAACTTTTACGTCATCAAATTATTAATTTTTATCTAACTTAGGTTAATTTTCATTTTGTTTTTAGTGACGAACCCGTTTGAAGTATTTGGAAAAGGATGAAGGATTAATTAGCTATTTGATGCAAAGTTTGGAGATCAAATTTTATACTTTGAAAGTTGAGAACTTGGATAAAATAATTGATTAATTGGGCCTCAATTGGAACTTGAAGTGGAAGCAAATTTTACAACTAGAATGGATTATCAATTGGACTCCAACTTAGAGGACTTGGGGGATTAATTCTATATAGAAACAAATTGATTGGTGGGCTGGAGATATATATATACATACATCCCGTTGGCAGCTGGGAGGAGAAAATAAAAACCTAAAGAAAAAAAAAAGAAAACCAAGAGAAGAGGAGGGCGACAGCTACCAAGAAGAAGAGGGAAGACCCATTGGAATTCCACCTCAATTAGGAGACTAATTAGGCGGCTGAAAGAGAAAGATATTATACATACAAGTTGCTGAAATTGGGTAGATAGACAAGTGCCGGCTACTGGGGGAAGTGGAGTTCTTTTGTGAAATAAAGAGAGCCAACTATATATATATATATATATACACATACATACATACATACATACATACATACACACAGAATTCTAGAAAGGAAAAAACACACAAAAAGATAAAGGGCTTGCTGGCGGTTGGAGACAAAAACATTGGGGTTGAATTATATTATACATACACATTGGAATAGCCACATCCACACGTGGAAAAGAAAAGAATTTGTGGCTGAAACTTTCTAATATATACATACATCAGAAAGTCGAAGCAGAGGGGAATTAGAGGCTGTGTTTGGGCTGAAAAGATAGAAAGATATACGCAGAAAATGATCGGCTCATAATTGGGATTAATCACGTTTCGTCGATTTCACGGTGATATCTTGTCAATTTTATTTGTCTGATTCCAACAACATGTTAGGCTAGTTTTTCTCATGTATTGGATGACGATGAAACCCGTTATTATTTATTTTTAATTCAAGACATGTGGTTTAGTTAAATTCTTGCAATTGTTGATTAATCTTGCATGTTTAATTTTATTATTTGATTGCCTGATCACCAATTAAATAGATAGTTGCTTGTTGTAGTGCTGGGAGGTTCACAATAAGTTTAGAACATTGCATGATTAATATATGTACAATAAATTTTAGGAATAAGATTCATCACGTGTGCAATCTTTGAGATAATTGTGAAATTGAATGCGTTCTATTCATATGAATTCAGACTAGGAATAGGATCGAATCGTGAATAGGATTGATTTAATTTGTCTTGGAAAGGAAAATTAATTACAATAGAATTATCGATTGTCAAGAATGTAAGAGCGAAATTAGCTACGTAGTCGAGAATCGGAATAGATAATAATAGGTGAATTCGTAATCCAACACATTCTTCCCATATACATTTTAAATTCGCATTTTATACATTTTCATAGATTTCACAAAAATCACTTTTAATTTGTTCGCTTTGAATCGAATTAAGAACTAATACACTAAGTTAAATTTTATTCCTCGTGGGACGATATTCTCAACACATCAAATCTATTACTTGTCAACGATCCTGTACGCTTGTGGGTTTCACACGAACACTTACCCCTCTTGAGTTCTCATTGAGCCTATTTAATTAGTTCAATTCCATATTTCTATGTAAATTAAATTTAATTAAACGAAATAACAGTTCTAAGAATTTCTATAGGACCG